ACAAATATTGAAGGCATGGATAATGCAATGCATCCAGCAAAACACCTAAAAAATAATAGTCAAAGAGGTGGGAGGAAAAGCAGAAGAAAATGAAGTCAGTGGGAAAAAAAGGGAAAGATAGTTTTCAGGAAGTATTTAACAATTACAGCAAAACTCCAGCCAGGTGAGCATTTGTACTTGTCAGTTTGGGAAGTCATAGTGCCATAGGGGTACTTATGAAAGACAATCTCTAAAATGGAGAAAGTATTACTTGTATTTTTGGTCTATTTCTCCATAGGGTTTAGGTGAGATTGAATTGACATGTAAAATTATCAAATTATGCATCCTGAGTGTCATGGTTTATGTCGGTGGCCCTCAGGCCTCATAGTTTGCATTATGCATTTGTGATTGGTTCATTGTCTAGCACTTGAATTGATGGTGTCAATGATACACCCACTTAGGGTTGGAGCCAGCATACAATGTAATGTAAGAAGGCATGTCTTTCTTTCTTGCTGGTTCCCATCTTGTTATTTGAAGCTGCCATGAACTGCAGACTTACCATGCCACCCTGCCTTAGAGCCAACTAAGTATAGACTGAAACCCCCAGAACTGTAAGAAATAAACCTTTCCTTCTCTAACTTTGGGCATCGGGTATTTTGTCTCAGCAATGAGTAAAGGAACTAAGACACAATTTGGTACTGAAAAGTGCAGTTGTTGCTGTGACTATACCTGACCACGTTTTTCGAGAGGTTTTGGAAATGGCTTGTGGGTAATTTGGAAAGGTTCAGACATGTCACCTGGATGCATAGAGCTGGAGCAGCTTAGGCTGTTCTGTAGAGGAGATTCTGGTCAGAGCTCAGGAGACCAAAAGGGTGATAGAAAACCTGATGATAAAAACCAGGTGTGGGAGGTTTCTGCTGAGAAAGACTGCATTGGCTGTTGGACTCCCCACAATGTGTGTTATGGGTTGGCAGAAAGTGTGTCTGCATTTTGCTCATGCCCAGAGACTTTGCCTGAGACTGAGATTAAGGGCAATGGACTGATTAATCTGGCAAATAAAATTTCAAAGCAGTTGAATGTTGAGGCTGTAGCATGGCTATTGTTGGAGGCTTTTAGCCAGATATATGTTGCAAATCAAGAGCAAAGAGCCCAACAGAATAATTTAAAATGCTGTTTGGCCAGAAGGAAAACTCCAGTAAAACTGTGGGTTGTAAAGATAGAATTGAGACTTCCATTTCTGAGAATAAACAGAGAGATAAGAAAGATGGCCAGGGGGTATCCCAGGAAGCAGTGGGTCTCCATCCTTTGCAGCCTCAAAACTGCAAAAGTGAAAAAATTTGCTCAAAGGAGAAAGCTTCAGAGCATCATCCTCCAAAGTGGCAACAGAGGCCACATGAGGTTCCAGAATGGTGGCAACATAGAGAAGCTTTTCCTCAGGTAAAGACAGCCCAGAGATCCAGGCACTGGACCCCTAAAGCCAAGAGAGAGAAAAGCCTGGTTACTGCTCCAGCTGGCAGAAAACCTTGGTGGCATCCATATGGTGCTGATTTTAGGTGCAAGGCAAATGCACAAATTATGAGGATAAGATGGTATTTCACCTCGATTGCAAAGGACCTGGGATGCCAAGCAGTGTGCCCTGAGAAGGCAATTTGTAAAGATGTAAGGGTGAAGCCAAAGGTTTAGAAAAGCCCAAAAGTTTAGAAAAGCCAGAAACGCGGATCATTCAAGGAAAGCTGCAAAAAGCGAGCAGAAAGGGTTTAAGAGAGAAGCTGCAGGAGCTGAAACCCCTGGAGTGGAATCACCCAAAGCCTTTCAGAGCTTGCAACCAAATTGCTTCAAATGCTGAGCATAAAACTCTAGGACTTAATGTTCACCCTACTAAATGTTGGATTTGCTTTGTTTCCAATGCTTTATATTCCCATTTGTAACTTTTGGAATGGTAATGTTTATCTCGTGCCTTTGCATTTCAGAAATGTTTAACCTTCTTTCATTTGCACAAGGAGTTACAGTTGAGAGTTTGCCATAGATATCGGAGGAGACTTGAGACTTAGACTTCTCAGCAATGCTGAAAATGTTAGGACTTTGGCAACTCTTGGAGATGGACTAAATGTCTTTTGTATGAAGCATGTGCCTGAGTCTTTGGGGGCTAGGGGTGAATGTCACGGTTTATGTCTGTGGCCCCCAGGCCTCATGCATTTGTACTGTGCATTTGTGACTGGTTCATTGTCTAGCACTTGGATTGATGGTGTCAGTGCTACAGCCGCATAGGGGTGGAGCCAGCATATAATGCAATGGCAGGAAAAAGGTGTCTCTCTCTCTTGCTGGTTTCCCATCTTGCTATTTGAAGCTGCCATGAACTGCAGCCCCACCATGCCACTCTGCCTTGGAGCTGAGTATGGACTGAAACCCCCAGAAATAAACCTTTCCTTCCCTAACTTTGGGCATCAGGTATTTTGTCTCAGTAACAAGTAAAAAATAATTAAGACACTGAGACACACATCACTGGACTGCACACCTAACCTATTTGCACTTTATACTTAATTTCCATTGCACTGTTTCGGGCCTCTTGTACCACTGTAGCTTTTGTGATCTTGATGCTTCCAGACACCGGCTAATTTACATAATGTTTTAGTTTACATCTAGATGTCAACTCAAAACCCCATACACTACTAGGCAGGACTTTGGAAATGTGATTGGATTATGGGGCACTATAGCTGACTTGCTGTTAGGATGTAGGGTTTGGTCTGAAGAGTCATAGGCAGGGAAACACCCCCCCCCTCCCCACTCCTCCATTCCTTTTCTGCTTTCTGGCCATTATGAGGTGAGCAGTTCACCTTTGCTCTGGCCCTTCCATCATGACTTCCTACCTTGGAGCCCGACAACTGTGGACTGAAAATGTGAGGTAAATCTCTTCACGTCTGTGTTGGATACTGAGAAACCAAAACTTGACTACAACAATCCGTAACAGATTGTTCTACTACAAGAGGCTAGACTTACATACTTTGGTAGGTGTGGAGTGGAGGGCCACATGATACAGCTAAATTACGTGTGTTCTCAAGGAAAGGGAAGTCTTCATGTAAGGATACAGGACAAGCACAACTGATTCACCAAATGAGAGCCGTAAGACGGTCTGTCAGAGCCTATCAAATCAAAACATACCGCTCAGCAAGCAACCACTGGAACACCAATGGGATGTCCGGGGCTTACACTAACCTTAATCCAGCAGTAGCTTAAAAAAAAAAAAAAAAACAAGAGAAAATGCAAAGGTACATAAAGTACACCTCTGACCTACTCGCTTTTCCTGAGCTATCCACTGAGAATGATAACTATAACTATAGTGGTATATTTTAATATTCCTGAACCTAATACTTCACAGGTCTTGGACAATAAGATAGGACCTTGGAGTTTGAATAAGCATCAAGCAGCCACGTTCTTCTTCCAGTATTTACAGAGGTGCTTTCTGCTTGTTTTTGATCAAAGCTGTGTGTGGCTGCATAGGGAAGGAGGGGCAGTGAACTCCAGAATGCCTGCCATGCAGACATTTCGTCAGGACAGGGTTCCCAGCTTTGAGACCAAGCTCACTCTGCCATTATTACACTTGGCTTTGTTAAGGTAGTAAGCGCTAATTTGTGAAGTTCTTCAAGACATCCCTAGGAAATGTAACCAGCTGATTTTCAAAGAAGTTGTGCCTTTGAAGCAGTGCCAATTTATATTTAAGACTAGTTGCTGAATAAAGCAAATTTTTTTAAACAAAAAAGTTCTCAATATCAATAGCAGACAAGCAGCTTCCCAGTGACAGAATCTCTAAGTCTTGCCATTGCAAAGCTTGCTATAACCTCATGAAAAGTGAAACCACAAACCAAAAATATTTAGACTACATAATGTGTTTATTATTCACAGGATTTAACCACAAAATCTTGGGTTATCTTTTTCGCTGTGTATTTTATAACACTAGTTTGGATGTGGCGTGTCCCTCAAGGGTTCAAGTTAGAGGTCTAGTCTTTGCTATAGAGATGAGATGGTGTAACCTGCAGGTGGTGGAGCCTGGTCATCAGTTTTCATTCAGTGCTTCCCTAAAACCTCCTATACTCACACAGTGCTTCTCAACAGTGACTGACTCATGGGCATGCTACAGCCATAAGTTAGGAGACCAGGGCCCAGTCAGAAGTCACTGGGAAACCTGGAGGACACTGGAACTCCCAACCCCAACCTGCTCTCTTCTCTGCTTCCCGACAGGCATGATGTGAAAAGGTTTTCCTCTCTTATCCCTCTCTACCACACTGTTCTGCTTTGCAGCCAGTGGACTAAAAACCTGAGCCAAAGTAAACCTCTTCTACACATTTTTGGGTGTCAGGTATTCCCGGTGAAATGTCACCAGGGGCCTGCCTTCACAAGACTAAGATACTGTCCAGCACCCTGCATTCGCTGTTGTAGAATGTGTTGTGCATAAGGCGAGAGGCTGACCCCAAGCTACTTTTTGGTTTCGTCTTCAACTCCCACCATGCCACCCACCATGCCCAGCAACAATGCTCGCCCTTGAGCCTCTGGAACTAGAGCTAAATATAAAATAAATAAATAAATTTACCCAGCATGAAGAAAGTAGCATGAAGAAACTAGTAATATGTTTCTCCATTTTCCTTTGTACTTCTTTCCCTACCCTCCTCACTTTAAAGAGCTGGATAAAGAAGTGAACAGTTTTGCTCTTACATTCATTTTCAAACAGGTAACTTCTGTGTGCATCATGAGGAGCTAGAGAAGCTCACATCAGGGGTTCAAAAGCAGATGCTCTATATTCAGAGACAAAGAGGAACAGAGAATACCAAAGGCTGGAAGCAAGGGGACAACGTGCAGTCGTTCTCTAATGGGTGTGGTTTCTGTGTTCTGGAAATGGACAGTGATCAGGGTCGCACATCCCTGTAACTGTGCTTAATGTCAATTGAGTTATATACTCCAACACGACTAAAATGGTTAATTCCTGCTTTACCATAATAAGGAAACAAAAAGCTGATGCAGTACACTGGTCAGACATGAGCAATTTATTCAGATAATTCAAATTTTATTTGGCAAAGTATATCCAGGGCAGAATTTGGGATAATTTTGTCCTTAGAAGCAATCACATTTTCTAGTTTATTATAGCATAGTATCTGAAGGAAAAGCAAAAATTTTTAAAAATACTTGTGAGGGGGTGATAATCACAAATATTTGCAAAAGGAACAACCAACCACCCAGCTCATAACGAAGTGGGAAACATGGAAACACTAAGCAGTAACCTTTGGGTCAATTTAATTCCACACTAAGCACCTAATTTGTACAAGACATGGGTTTGGTGTTGGGACTGAAGTGAAATCATAAAAATCACCAAGGTGCAATCTCTCAAGTTTATGACTCAGTAACAATACATATTAAAATGGTGCTGTTAAGTGAGATACAAAAGGAAATAAAGGGACTAAAGCCATGGACGGGAACTCAGAGCCCTCTAAATTTGAAGGTGTGGATTAAGCAGTTCCCAACATAAAAAAGTGGTGGCAAACCATCTTGATAAAGGAAACAGTACAGCTCTTCCATGGCTTTAAAAGTGTGAAAGGGGACAGCACACTCACAGTACAACTCTCACAAATACTGAGAATCTAAAATTTCTCAATATTGTTGATCCAATTTAAGAAATGAGTGAGGATGACAAAACACAAAGCTGAAGAGACAGACGCAGACAGGAAATACGTATTTTCAGCATAAATCCAATCCCCATGTACATACACACGTACTATAGCTATTCAAGTTAACACTGTCCCAGGGCAAAATTAGCCCTGGCAATGTTACTGTTCATCACGGCAGAACACGACTTTTTGTTAGACTAAAGAAGTATTACCTACTGCTGGGGGAGGGAATACACAAATTAAAAGTCCATAAACATTCTTAACACTACACAAGCGATCGAGAAGGCCAGATGAGATCATTTGAGGAGACATAAAATCTCTTTCAACTGAACTGCTCTCAATAACTCAGTTTCCCTATTTAAAAAAATACAGAAGAGAAAATCATTCTTCAATAGAAATTTGTGTATTACACCTCAAAAAGAAATGTAATGGAACATACTACCAATCAAATATCAGTTTCTGCTTCTGTAGTTTACACAAATTACATTTATCTATAATACTTTAGGGAACCCTATAAACACAATATGTAACAGTATCATATAATATTATTCATCATCATTCTTAAAAGTGTGGCTTGTGTTATCTCAAAGTAAAACAACTAAGTCACTTCACAAAATTCACCATTAATCAACTCAAAATTTTAAAAAGGAGCTTTACATATGGTAAACTGGAATGCACAGACCTGCCAGGCTTTGATGAAGTGAAAATAAATTATATAACCAGCACCTCATAAAACCAAGAATCCTGCTAAGTACAGAATTTGACTCTTCCCCTCTCAATAATAGCTGGTAAGAATTACAACCTCTCCTCCTTAGGAACTGTTTCATCATATAACATACTGTATTATTTAACATTAATAAACATTTGACGTTATCATGAATAAAGAGCTATTTTTTAATCAAAATGACTCTAAGGGACTAGAATAGATATATTAGCACACTGAAATGGTTTACTTAAAAATAAAATTCATAAAAATGTTATCTATCCTACTCTTACATTAATTTAAATTAAAATCAAAAGATGAAGTATCATTTCAGACCTATATACACCAAGATGCCAGTTCTTATAAAAATGTACCTTAGTTGTAAATGCTAGATTATGCAAAAATAATTTCATATCAATTTTAATTTTAATGAAGTTTACTCAACTTTAATATTAAAAACACAGAACTTAAATATTAATGGTCAAAGTTTCTATTTTTCCTCACTCTATTAAAAAAAGGTTTTGTTTTCCCTTATTAACATACAATGCCCTATTAGTAAGGCACAACTTTTTTTGGATAAAAATTGAATCATAAACTAGGTTTATTTTACACAACAGTCACAAGACACACTTTCTGTAGGCATTTAATACAATTTAAATTCCACCAAGATCTAAAATGAAAAATCACTGTTCCTATCTCGAAGTAATTGTCACACAGCCTCAATTAGGTGTTGCAGCTAAAATCATCAAAACATTTCTGCTTGAACCGTCACACTGTCTCTGGAAGAAGGCCACCAATGTGGTGCTCTAGAAAGAAAAGCTGAATCTTGTCTACAGTGGCACACTGTCTTCTTTACTTACGCTTGGGTCACCAGAGGTAGCTGTCACCTTTCACCGCCCAAGTGAAATCCAAATCTGAATTTAGCATCTGAGAAAGGGGCTGAGCTGTTGATCCTAGGGGTCAGCCAGACACTTGTTTTGAATCCTCCTTCAACTGTTCTTTCCTTGAACTCCTCCATCTCCCTTCGCCCCTCTTCTCAGGGGTAGCCCCTGGACTAACCCCTCTGACAATATTAGCAAAACATTCAAAGGGACACCCAACAAATAGATACACTCTGCACAACTGGGGCTTAAAACATATAACACAAAACACTTTCTAATTTCATGATACATCATAAACAACAGATCTGTGTATTTCTGATTTAAAATCAAGACAGAAACTCTAACCGGGGGTGGTGGTGGCAGGGACAAACACACTTCGAGGACAACTATGAAGATCCTGTGGGCCTTGTAAACTCAACTGACATGGAAAATAAAGGGAGGAGAACCAAACAGAAAAAAGTTTCCTCAAGCAGACTGATCTATCCAACTCCTTTATACTCTCTATGCTTACATTCTTGAGAAATGGGCAGGAAGAAATTCTTTGTGTAGATTTGGTATTGGATGAGACTATTTGTGATTTTACAGGAGATTTTCCTTTACTTTCTATTGAGTCTCTGAAAAACACTGGCTAATTCAGCGTCCATCAGGATTCATCACAGCCTCAGCTCTCTTGAAAGATTTCAACAGCCAATCTTGAGGGAAAACGACGACATACAAGAATTTAGGAGTGAATGGTCAGGGTGTATGTGTGTGTTTGTGCCTGTGTGGTGGGGGTGGTGGGGAGCACAGTGGCTGTGCAAGAGCCACAAGACGCAAGGCGGGAGGCAGCAAGGGATGAGAGGAGGTGAGGGTGGCTGCGGGGACTGCTGCCACTGTCTGCACTGTGGTATGTAAAACATGCTTTCAGTGAAAAATACCCTCTGAATAAAGCCAAAGGGAAAAGTAAGACCAGGAAGGGGGGGGGGTTGATTACAAGCAAACTGTACACGTTCTTCTGTTTTAAAAATAACTATGTGATTCTAGGAGACAGCAAACGCCTCGCTTACGAAGGTGTTACTGCTGCTGTGGCACAATCATGTCTCATATAAATAAATATAAATACTGTCCCTTATAATGTATAATGGCTCTTAGAAATAAAGTTTTAAAAATGAACTTCCTATAAAATTACTTACAAATAATTGGTAACTAGACTACACCCCCAAATTATAAAAATAATGTATTTAACTCAGCCAGTATCTGGATTTTTGCATAAAATACACATCCTTTACATGTTCAGATATGAAAACTATTGATATTAACTCTTCAGAGGCCACAGCTGATCTGAGATAGAAAGAATACTTTCTTAAAAGTCCAATTAAAACTGTCATGCTTTCTAGTATCAAAGTGATGTTTCCATTAATCATAAAATATCCTCATATTTTTAAATTCTAACAAATTCCACTTCTTATTTGTCAGTTCCATTTCCCTTTTTCAATTAAAACAAATGCTTATACTATAGGATTTTGGTAACAGTATATGTCTTTGTCTTCCTTCCTGAGAAAAAGGATTCTGAAGCAAAACAATGAAGTCTCTGATATTCTTTTTCAATTCCCAAATCTTTTTTTTAAATATCAAGTGTTTCAACTACTAGAACTTTAAATGAAATCCCACTGAATAAGAGCCTACTTAATGCATTTGTGTGACCAGGTGCTAGAAACCGAACGGAAACATTTGGGCATACAGATTCAATTCACACATGAGGAGTCACAGCCCTTAGACTGTGAACATGTAAACCTAAAGTGTGCATTTCTACCAGGCTAGTTTGTACATTCTTTGTTCAATTTTACTTCAAAGATAGAAAATAAATAGCTGTTTTAGGGATAAAAAATTTTTAAAAGAAAAAGAAACCATGAGAAACTCCTCTATTTATCGCTGACAGAGAATGCAACGGCATTAAAGCCACATGAAAGAAGAGTACTGTTTGTTTATATGAAGTTTCTAGATATCACACTGAGAAATGCCACAGGTTCCAATGAAAGCCCATAAAAAAGGTTGGAGTTATGGAAACACAATGAATACATCATAACTTTTCAACCGTTTTCTGCTGACTTAATTTACAGACTGAACTTTCATCAGAAAGTAACTGGGACTGTGTATACACTTCAGTGGTAAGCAGTTACCTACAACATTGATTTCTGGGGTTCTACACCCAGCACCACAAAAAGGGAAAAAAAAAAAACAGAGAAAAACTTTCATTTTTATTCTTATAATCGATGGGAAACTACGGACTGTCTCTACTCACTACTCTGAGTTTGTTTAGGTGAGATATAATTATGAACAGCGAAAGCAACCATGGCAAAAGCAACATACTCATTCCCGTTACTGAGAGAATTTCTACATACAAACTTGGCAAATCTTTTAAAACTTAGTAAAACAAAGTTCCTGAAAGTAATAAAAACTAATTCAAACCATGTTATGTCAAGTAATTTTCAATTATAATAGAATCATTTTTTGTCTTACAGTGCCTTACACCGTATTATATCCATGGTAAGAAAAATTACCAAAGCCTTAAGTGCTAACCCAGCAACCTAAAACCAGATCACATGAGCTCAGGGTTAAACGCTGGCCAGGAGTGAAAGGGTGGAACCATGCATCTTCCACAAGTAAAATGAAAATCAACAGCACAATGGCAAAAATGTCAAATCTACGAGTACACACGTTTTTTTTTAAAAAAATATACAAACAAAACACCACACCCATCAGGAAAATGACAAATACAATGTAAACTACCAACTGTCTATATTTCCTACTAGCTGGTGCCTATTACTAAAATTTCAAAAAAACAAAAAACCAATTTAAACTTTTCTAGTTTAAGCCATATAAATATTCATATATTCATATGAACACAGCATTTGTTGCATTTTAATGAATATGTGGCTTCTTGTGCTTTCTATCTGAATTAGGAGTAAAAATCTCCAAATACGTTATTTTCAATGAGATATAACTATAAAATTAAATATCTACACAAAAATCAATCCTTCTTTCAACTCAGTTCTATATGAAAATATTAACAAATAGTGAAGATTCATGATGTGTGAAAATGGTGACTCATATAACAGTGTAGACTCAGCTACAGATTTTAATTCACAAATATATATATGTGCTTCATGTATGACAACGGTACGAAAATAGTCTCAAAAATAAAGACAATAATTGAGACATGAAGCAACCCATTTTCCCTATCGTGCATCCTACCACAGGGAAAACAAAGTCTCTGATGCTTCATAAATACTTTAAAAAGTCTGAGATGGCCTTGATAGTCTCTCCCAGTCCTTTGAGCTTCCAGCATTTCGGGCTCACCATTCCAGATCTGGAATGCTTATTTAGGTCCTGTCTTTTCTAGATCTGGGAGTTTTCTGACCAAAGCCTGGTGATTCATTCTGATACTAGCAAGGAGTCCACCTTCAATGCCATCTGACCCAGTGTAAGTGATTTCTTCGCCGCTCAACGTGGTCATATGTCCCCCAAGGGCTTTTAAGATGGCATTTCCAGCACATATATCCCACTTTTTAATGTATGTCACATGGATATACAGATCAGCTTTTTCTTGGCTCTTATCAAGCACATCCAAGAGTGCTAGAACTTTATAACCTGAAAGATAAACACAGAATTTAGATTACTGCTCAAAGGATTTTAAGAGGGCAGAGTACAGTTTTTATTAAATACATGGTTGAAAAGAATAGGACAGAGTATTCAGGAGCTACTATATTGTCTTTGAAAAGTATACAGGAAGCTTAAAATTTTCAAATATTTTTAGACACAACAATGCAAAACATTAAAGTCAATGGAGCAAAAATATGTATAACCAGACATATGCTTTTAATTTTTAAAACTTTTACGGAATGAGACATTCAGTACGTGCCATCTGCTATGGAATGACACACTGTACCAAAGCTACACACCTGTATGCTCCACTTACAGGAAAGGAAAGCCTGATTTAAAGGAGAAAAACTAATGCTTCCACTTAAATCCTTTTTGTAAAAAGGAAGAACTTAAGGAATTAAATTTAATATATAAAACAGATACAGACTAGGTATAGAATCTTGCTTAACTCAACTCTACTGGGTATTTTGGACATCATCTTTCCTAACCAATCCAAAAGAACCCGTAAGTAAATGTTAAGGAAGACAGATATATATGATCAGCAAATTACAATTATCATAAGCTTAAAGTAAGCTTACTTTTTCCTCTACTACTACATTGTAAAGATATTTCAATATGAAGGCTTTGCTATTTACCTAAATTTCTGACATGTTAAAAAAAACTCGTGACAGTAGTCATCAAATGGTCCCTCAAGCCAAACACAGTTCATGTTCTGCTTTTGTAATGTCTCAAAGTAAGAATTTTTTTAAAAATCTTTTTAAAAGGTGATTTAAAAATCAAAGAGCAGTATGCAACAAAACTGTGCATGGTTTGCCTGGTCTGAAATATTACCATTTCCCTGGTCTGAAATATTTACTATCTGGCCTTTTTCAGAAAAAGTGGGCCAACTTTTGATCAACAATCAGGTGATATTTAACTGAGTGGGTACCTAACTTTGTTGCTTATCCCAGTTGTACAAGGTAATAGCCAGCATGATTACTGGCTTCCTCTTCCTGTAAGAACATGATTGATTTTTCACCCTGTCCCTCATAAACTAAGACACAATTATTTTGAAGTCAGAACATGTAAAAAGCAACCACTGATGATGCATGACTGAGGGAAGATGCCTTTGCAGTATTTGAGAAAGAGAAATCACTGTTGTGAGACTGGCACAGCCAATGCCACTGGGACCCCAGCCTAGTGATTACTGGGAAGGAGACATACTCTGGCTTGAAAACACACTGTGCTTTCTCACTTTTTGGCAAAAATGGGACAAACATACCAGTCTTCTGACACAGACTGCCCACAGTGCAAACACACTAGAATCACCAGTAAAAAAAAAAAAAAAAAAAAAAAAAAAAACATACCAGCACCACCAGCCGGGATGATTGTAGTCTGGTTTCCAAAGGTCTGAAGAGCAACCTGTTTGACCATCCCTGAATGGGAGCGAGACACAATGATCCTTGGAGTCTTCTCATTGTAAGAAGAGCGGGGTTTCACATTTGAACCACCACCAACCATTGCCCAAGCTGAAAAGCAAATACACATTAATAGCACTAAATCTTTAAAAAAAGTTACTTTCTTCAGAACTCAAAGTACCAAGTGACTGAAAAAAATATACTCCTCTAAAGATAATTTGTATTTTTCCCCCAAAAGACAATGCTTTACTTTTTTTTCTTTCTACAAATGTAACATTTTTAAAACAGTAAAATAGATTAACTCATTAAGACAAAGCTAAGAAAAGGCCGTGTGACCCTGAAGAGTCACTGAGAAGCTATTAAGCATTTGGTTTAAGAACTCTCATGCTTGTTTTTCTGGGGTCCTGGCTGAGTCTTAACTGGGCTGCAGTGAAATCTGATTTCTCTCTGCATCTACCATGCTTCCTTTCCTCCTTTGGAAAATCTGATCCAACACATTCTCCAATAAACATCTTGCATGCTGTGGTATAATCTTAACTTTCATGGGTAACTCAAATTTTAAAGTTGATTTTTCTCCTGTTTTCTACTGTACTTCTGATATACTCCTGGTTTCATTTATTTAAATATTAGCTCAATTTCCTAAGTAACTTTATCACTAGAAAATACAAAGGTAAATGAGTTAGCACTGAATTTTGTTTGATCAAGGAGTGTAAAAATAAAAAAGCATTAGATTTCAAAATGAACAGAATTTTAAAGAGGAAAAGAAGACTCCAGGGATGGCTCGAGATGTTATTCTTGATTTGCAAGGGTCCTTCACTGCTTATCAAACTACTCAAGATAACAAACTTACTTAATTTTTATACCAATTAGGTTGTCGATGTAGCACTCACTATGGCATAAATATAGTCCACCATAGCTAATAATGAAATCTTTAAAACTGTTCCATAAAATATCTCTGAAATTAAAAAAAAAAAAAAAAAAAAAAAAAGATCTAATACTAACCGGGATTCTGAGTACCTGGAAATCTGCCTAGAATATCAACTTTGAAACGTAACAGTTATATTACTAGATATTAAATATAAAGTTCTTTTGTATTTACTCCAAGCAAAGTCAGAAAAGACTGAAAATCAGCACAGTATCCCCTTTTCACCAACAACATTCAACACACATAGATATACTCTCCAGTCCAATAGCCTCTACAAATTAAGAAAAAGAGGTGTACAGTACAGTGTCCTACCAAAACCCATGTCCACTTGGAACTTTCAGAATGTGACTCTACGTGGGAACAGAGTCTCTGCAGATGTAATCAGTTGAGACCATAGAAGAACAGGGTGGGGGCGTAAATCTAATGATTTAAGTTCTCATAAGAGAGGAGACAGACAGAAGAGGCCACTGTGTAAAGACAGAGGCAAAGTCTGGAGTACTGGAGTGACCACATCTACAAACCAAGGAATGCAAAGAATTGCTGGAGCCAACAGAAGGTGGAAGAAAGGAAAGGTTTTAGCCATATCCTACCCAAAGCACGGTCCCATTAACTCCTTGCTATCATATTTTTGGTATCTTGAACTACAACAGAGTGAAGTCTGTTATTTTAAACAACCTAGCTTGTGGTAATTTGTTATGACAATCTTAAGGTACTAATGCAGGACAGACCACAGCTTTCCTAACGAGTCAAGTAGTCTTTTAAGTACCAAGGTTCTAGAAAAAGTTTAACATGTACTCAAGTAATAGTAAACACATGGCTAGAAGAAATCTACTAGAGGATAGATTTTACCCAATCAACGGATGCGAAAGCACTGCTGGCCAACACTGAATAAATATAACAACAGATCTGAAAGGAGAGCAGAAATGGGAATAACATGGGAGAATAAAGGTGTATAGATGATTACTGCATAGGTGATTGCTGAAACTCAAAGAGTAACATGTACATCTGATAAGCTGAATAGCAGAGCTTAAAAGTGAAGATCAAAGGATATGAGTAAGTAAAATGGAACAGCTGTCAAATACAAAGCTGAAATCAGCTGAACTGTTTTAGCAGAAATATCTAGGCTACTTATATATGAAAAAAGGATAATAGGTAATTAGTAAAGGTGAGCAATAAAGAAAACATGTTTAACTTAAAAGTAGTAACTGTAGTTTCTGAACCATACTGAATATATAAGTGCACATGGCATAATTTTTTTTTTTTTTTTTTTTTTTTAAAGAGAAAGCCTGGGGCTGGAGGTTTAGATCAGCGGCATAAGCGCCTGCCTTGAAAGCAGGCAGTTGTGAGTTCGATCCCTGGTACGGATAAAAAGAAAAAAGACAAAAAAAAAAAAAAAAAAAAAAAAAAAAAAGAGAAAGCCTGTTCCTCCCTACTTAAATTTCTTTCCCTATTTTGAGGTAATCTGCATTAATTACTTACTCTGAAAACTGATACATTAAAGAAAAATTATGTTTAATTTATCCTGCATTTCTAAAAGAAAATACATGTCACAATAAGCCCAGCTATGAAGAAAAGTTTAACATATGTAGAAAATACAAGAAATTTAGAAAATCTCATTTTGCAATATCCTTCGCAGACATTAAAACTACTAAGAAGAGAAAACAGATCTCAACTGATGTCAAAACCTCTATCCAGGTTATCTATTGATAGTAAGAAAACCAAAATGATTTTATAATTCAGAGACCCAGTCATAATCATTTTAATTATCTGAGCATCATTAAACAGTGAGAAAGAGACACTGTCATAGTAATGACAAAAAAGTAAGTTAAATGACACCCTTAAGAAACAGTGAGATATATCCCAAAGAGGATATTTTACAGAAGAAATGAGCTGGTCTCAAGTCAATATCACAGGAGTAGAGAGGAATGGAAGTTGTTCTAGCTTAAGAAAATTAAACACAGCAACTTAAACAAAAAAGTATCACTGACTAGATCTTGGTTTCAAGTCATCAGCCATTGGTAATCCACTTTAGGAATAACTGGGGAAATGACTACTGGATGTCAATTAGGGAATTACTGCTAATTTTATTATATAATACCACTGCTCTTCTGTAGAAAAATATCCCTACAGACACATACTGAAATACACAGGGTTAAAATGTTATGATTTTTAAACTTTTCCTTAATGCAACCACGCAAAACAAAAAACAAAAAAATCCGGCAACATATTGGCGGTTAAATCTAGGTGGAATAAATGAATATTCATATAATGTTTGAAATTATTCACAATACAAGTAAAAACAAAAAAGAAATGATGACATAAAAAGCTAAACATTCTACACACACAAGCCAGTTTTACTTATTAGTGAACTTACAATGCTCCATCTCTAGAGGTCAGTATTGCATAAGTGAGTAAAAACAGTGTAGTTATCAGAATAATTTTGAATTATCAAATTCAGGATTAAAACTCAATCCAGTTACATGGATTATTTGTTAAAATTATATGGATATATTTTAAAAAGTACAGTCAGTGCTTAACTATAAATGTCTGATGATGAGGTAATGGTGATAACACAGCAGATACACACTATGTTTCATTTACAGTGCTACCTTGGATTACCAACTTAATTCTTTTCACAAATCTGGCCACAGAACTTGTTCCACAATTGTGGCTGCGGCCAGAATCATGGAAAGAATGAAGTTTGTGAACCGAGGTACAATTGTACTGGTGAGACAGGCTAAAAAGGCTGCATGGGAAGTAAAAATGGGTTGATATTTTCCTATACATAAATCCAACATCACTTATTTTTAACAGCTCCAAGTTTCCATTGAATGAATATGCAACCCATAAGTTTAATAACATGCATTTATGTGTTACTTCATTAAAACACATTCAACTATATCTTACTATAGCAAACTCAAGGAATTAATCATAAAGTCTGACAATTCTGATTAGCTGGTTCCCATTTCTGCTGTAATGGGAATAATAATATCCATTATATTTCATTTATATTATATTTCATTTATAGTTAAATATAGCTAAATTCTGGTAAATATACAGTAATTTACAATTGGTACTCTGCCAACTTCAATACACAGTGTGGGCCTGAAAATTAGTCCAAAAGGCAGGCCCAAGGCAAACAAACTCTCCATGCAGAAATGAAAGGTCAACCACACTTTGGACTTTCTGATTCTTGCAATGTGGTTTCTAACTGGCAGGTACTTTCAGGTTCCAGCACATTGGGCAAGTCGTAAATTGCATCACAGAGGACGGAGACATTTTATTACTCTCATGGCTTGTATCTAGCTGTCCCCTCAAAGTCTCATGTGGCCACGAGGGGCTTTTCAGAGGTGGCTGGACCTACAGTGTGTGAATTTAGATTAAGGGTGTGTTAGTCCAGTAACCAGTCTATCAACTTCTGGGCACGGGTAATGGGAAGCCCCTCCTTGGCTGTGGGGAAAGGAGGTTTGCTGCTGTTGCTTGCTGCCTCCTACCTGTCCTACCGCACAGACTGTTTCTCTTCTGCAACCAACTACGGGACTGAAACCTCTAGACAGTAAATGAAAATAAACTCTTCTTCTTTTAACTAGTAGGTGTCTGGTATTTTATCTCAGCAAAGAGAAAAGTAACGAGACGTTAATTTAAAAAGACACAAATTGTTCTTGAGCATTTAGCTTCCTTATTTTAAGGTAGGTAAGCTTATGGGGAGGGTGCACATTATTAAAGTAGAAATGTTTTTCAAAATGGGTATTTTTATTTTCCCTATCCCTTTCCCTAAAAAAAGAGATGTGGAAAGGCCAAAAGACATGCATCTATTTGACTATCTAATACCAACTGTCTTTTCTTTTTTTTTATTCAAATTCCCTTCTCTCGAGTAGCAGATTCTGTTTACAGCTCAAGTGCTACGTGATCTCCAGTCGATGTTCCTTAAATGTGGAGATTCAGTGAACAAGGCTTAGGGTTCCGAGTTATAGTTTTGTGATGTAAAAAATGAAAACAGGGGTAGCTCCTTTGTGCTTCTTTTTTTTCCCTTTTCGTCCTGCCCAAAAAGTAAATCATAGCAAAGAGAAGGACTCATCTTTATGAACATGCAAGAAGCTATTCTCTAATGGGAAAAAGAGAGGAGTCAGGTTCTTGGTATCACTAAATTACTTTCTGGCCATTCTATTAGGTGAGAAAGAGAAGCTGCCTTAATTGAACCACAGTAATCAGTCTTACTTTCTGGGAAGCTAAATGCAATTTAAACTGATGCAGACAGAGGCAGTGAGAGGCAGTGTCAAACAAGCATTTAACCTTTATATGCCTGTTAAATGTAAAGTCACTGTAAGTCTTATTTTACATCCTTTGAGAATTATTTTAAGAGTACAAAAATGAACTGCAATGCACTTTAGAAATTGAAAATACTAAATAACTGCAAGATACTGTAAGGCTTTCGTGATAGCCAACGTCAAGAGCATTTTCTCATCTACAACAAAAGATAACACCAAAGGCTTTCCATGCCATGCATTTATCAAAGGTTCAAATGAAATTCTATTACATACACTGCAAACTGTGAAACATTACACAAATGTTTAGAATTGTGGCATTACTATTATAGCAGTGTTATGATATACTAATTTGCGTAACATTCCTGGGGCTGAATTGAGCAGGATGACCTGCAGGAATGTACTGAATTTCTAAAACTTATTTTCTCATTTTTAAGTGGGAATACTAATCTAGATAAGATATCCTTCTCTTTTGTGCAACACTAAGTGCAGAGAGTACTGAGTAGATAATGGATTTCAGTATCTACTGTCCTCACTTTCCTTGAGTGAGAGAATCCTTGAACTTTTGTTTGATGGCCACTGAAAATAAATACTACCCTTCAGTCTTCCTTGTGAGTGAGTGTTAGCTATGTTTTGATCAATGAAATATGAGCAACATGAGTGGGACGTGGGGCATGTAACACACAGGTCAAACCCTCAGTAGGAAATGATCTCCGTTCTTCTCTCCAGTGGCAGCACAGAGAAGAGTGAGCTTAATCATGCCCAGAGAACAGTAAGTGTGAGGGGCCCAATGCAGGCCTCCATGGCTGGCACCAAGGAGACGCACTGGTAGCCCTGGACTGCTTACATATCAGCTGTATGGGAAGAAAAAGTGAACTGTTGCGTTGAACCTTTTATATTGTAGTGTACCCTACAGCAACCTGAATTAACAGCCTACCTTACATCTATCTAATTCAGTAAGGGTTAAAAGAATTATGTAAAAGTAATCCATAAACCATAAAGCAATTATATAACTAATCTTTAGGCCCAACTCATAACAATGGCACAAATCTTTCACAGCATTCAAACTGTCAACTGTAAGCACTCAAACCGATAGGATTTTGAAACACAGAATCAACACCTGAATATAGTTAGCCTATCTCAGATCAGCTAGAATTTGGGATCCAAGCCATGGGTATTTGAAAAAGCAAATAAGTAACTTAAAACAACTTGTCTCTATTTCCTCACAACCAACAGTCTTTTACTCTTTTCTTTCTTTGACATTACTGAGGAATAAGCTCAAGGCCTTCACAATGAGCTAGACCCCAGCCCTTTTCTTATTTGTAAATTTTTTTAGTTTTACTTTTTTAATTCGAGACAAGATCTCCCTAAATTGCCCTCAAGCTTGAACTTACGCCCTTACCTCAGTCTCCCAGCGTGCTGTAGCTAGGGTTACAGGCCTGGAGCCCCAAGACAGTTTTCTGTGTGGTCAGCTACACCTACAGATGCACTGGGGATGGCTAGGTTAGCTAAGTAAGTAACAGTTCTCGAGTGTTCTGTGAATTCCTTTCTTAAGAATATTGTCACAAACCGAACACAAATTCAGAGGCTTACAAGGAGGGAAATGTGTCTTCTCACCTGTTAGGGCCGGAAGACAAGGTATGGCAGTGTATTCCTGACAGAAGAGGTTCTAGGTACAGTCCATTCCAGGCCTCTCCCCTCACTGCTGTGGTGGCAGGCAATCCTGACTTAGCCAAGGTCACGCCCATCTCTGCCTCTGCCTTACACACTGTCTTACCCCATATGTGTTCATATCCTTTGTGTTTAAGAACCTCTCCCTCGGGTTAAGGTACCACTAAACATGAACTCATCGTGGGCTACCTGGCTTAATTTTCTAGACTTTTACTTTTGGTTTGGTTTTTCAGTGCTAGAGATCAACTCTAGGGCCTTGCACATAGCAGAGAGAAATCTTCTACCACTGAGTTACCTTCTCAGTTCTCTGGTTATTACAGACTGGATTGTGTCTCTCAAAACTATGAAGAAATCTTAATCCCCAGCACCTTGGTACTTGGTATTATTTAGAAATAGGGTCGATACAGATGCAATTAGTTGAGATAAGGTCATATTGGTACAGGGTGGGCCTCTAATCCAATGTAACTGGTGTCCTTATAAGAGACGAGACACAGAGGTAAGAACACACAGGTAAAATGCCATGTGAAGATGAAGACAGAGACTGATGGGTTCACAAATCAAAGAGCATCATGCACTGCTGTGTAACAACAGAGAAAACACAGAATTGTCGCTTACAGATTTCTGGTCAAGTATGGCTCTCTAGTCTCAGAACTGAAAGAGAAACTGTATTATTGTTTAAGAGACAGAATTTGTGATTTCTAATGATAGCAGTCACAGTAAACAAATCCAGAGGTTAGTATGCTTTAGATCTAAAAAGTCCCTCAACAGCCTCCCATGTCCACACAAGGGCCTTGTGGAAAGCACCTGGATCACAGGGATGAGACACTCATGAGTGGATTAACCTATGGACGGTTCACTGCAGAACCTGCTCTTTGTCCTGGCTGTTTAGAGTGAGCAAGGCACTGGGGCACAACTTGGAAGGGTGTGTTCTTGATCTGGCTCCTTCTTTTCTCTTTGCCTCCTGGCTGCCATGGGTGAGCAGCTTTTTTGTGTAATGTCATTTCTATCTTGGAGCCAGGTGCTTAAAAACTGTAAGGCCTCCTTTAAATTGTGGGTGCTGGGTATTTTGTGCTTGCAATAGGAGAGAGACTAAAACGGGGGTGGATACAAACTTGAGGAGGACATATAGCAATCCACTGTACCTAGCCATTAGGGCTGCTTTCAACACTAGCAAAGTGGGTATTGTTACTATCAAAAACCTTGCTGTTGTACAGAAGAATAGAAATTTCTATCCTGTGTGTTGATAGTTACCAAGGAAACAGTATGATAATTCTTCTCAGGCTGTCAACAATGCTGCTTATACTACTTTGCTTCCTCTTCTACCATGACAACCTGTCTTGATAAACCAGTAATCATAGTTTATACTATCACTGCTACCTACATGAACACAGCCTGTCTGATTAACTGCAGTGTAATGTCTACAGTGATACCAAAATGCTAAATCCACTGGCACTGGCAAGGATCTAGCTCCTAAACTGATGTGAAGCTCCCTGACTGGCCTTCATACCCTTTCACTCCCAAGGAGGACATCACTCATCTGCCCTATCACCTACAGAGAGCTAAAACACATGACTGTCTCATTACAGTAGGCAAACAAGTGTCTGAAAGATGCCCAAGGCTATCTAAAGACTAACTTGTCTCCTCAGGCTTTCACAGTGACCCTATTCACCATGCTTGATGCTAAGGTGACTCTGACCTTAAGCACCACAGTACCAAGCTTGAGAGTAACAATAGATTTGGCTAGAGCAACTGAACAATAAACCTCAGAACTCACCAATAACAGCATGAGGAAGAAAAAAAAAAAAAAAAACCACAGCTGCTGGGGAAAACCAGTGCGCCTAACCGCATCCACAACAGACTGGGAAGCTCATTTCCATTCACCAGTGCCCATCCCCAAAGAATGGCTTCAGAAAGCCAGGTTCTGTTATATGACCAGCACCAACCATGAAATCCTCAAGTGCATCCAGTGAGTTAGGGTTATCATATCCCAGGGCAGAGGACAGATTTCATCAACACGGGGCTACAGGTGAGATGCCAACATAAAAAGGAGGTGTCATAAACAAACAGCCCCATATTAACATCCTCATTAAAGTTCTCATGTTCCATACCTGTATATTCAGAAAACGGCTTATGTATAACTCCAAGCACAGGTTTACCATTTACAGCCACACACACCATTGTTGTAACATACTGTCGAAGATCCTCTAACAGAAGAAAAACAAACAAACAAACATATACAACTGTCAAGGTCCTGTGCATACATCTGGGATACAAGATTCTGTTTTGTTTCATTAAAGTTTTATGTACAAAAGGGTGTTTCAAGACATTAATCTCGTAAGCAAAGTCTAAGGGTGAAGGCCAGCTGCAGAGGGTAAGAGTTCTGGTTCTAGAAGTAGATTGCCTGGTTATTTTCCAAGCCCACCACTTTATTACCAGCATGTCTTTGGAAAAATTACTTCAATTTAGTTTCGTCATCTGTATAATACAGGTAATAGTTATCCATCTTTAGATATAAATTTTTAATTTTAGGATTAAATTAAAAAAATCAATTCAGTTGGTTACTCCATCTTATCATTAGTTGGTTGTTTATAAATATTATCATTATGTTTCCAGGCCACTTCAGATTAGGAAACTTACATACTCCTCACCATTCTGTATTTCAATTGCCTACCCATACAAAGTATTGTTTTATAATTTTAGTTAATATTAGATATGTACAACTACTGTCTTCTCCCTGTTCTGCAACTAGTTATCTACTGAATATCTATCAGGGTTCAAGTTCAGTTTAAGCATTAGAATATAAATGATAAAATAAGAGTCCCCCACACTCAATACATGTATCATTAGTGGGAAAAATAGATAAATAACTAACTTTAACATATATAGCAACAGAGAAAGCAGGAATCAGGCCATCTCCAGAAAAAAACAATGCCTGAGAAAGGATACTGAGAAATAAATCTAGAGCTAGAAACAGATAAAAGGAATGTGAATGATCAGAAGGGCAATATTTTTTTTTTTTACTACTTACTTACACGGTTTCTGAATACCTAGCATTTACCATTTTGAATTCCAAGATCAGACAGATATACTGATAAATAGATACAAATTCCCAATACTCCAAGTAATTATTATATTCCAATTAAATAAATTTCTTCAATAAGAGATGTTCAACTGAAACCATTATGTTGCTAATCCTAAACATTTTCCTTTATTGAAGAATCAGGAGTTACTGATTCTCAAAAAGCTAGGATGAATGCTGTAAGAAAACAGATCTTGGACCAAAGGAAAACTTAAAAATGGTTGATTCAGCCCAAATATTTCAGATAATATTTTATCAATTTAGCTTCCTTATCTTAAAATCTAATTAGAAAAGTTCTTGGATTTGTAAAATACCTATCACTGTATCTATATTCCTGTTTTGGTTCTAGTTCTTTTAATATAAAACAGCAAGCTAAGGTTTGAGATCACTGTTAAAATTACCTGTATATTCCTGTGTAGCATCAAGCGGATCAATCCAGACGGTAACACTTTCCGCTGGGACCTCTTTAGAGGTAGTGATTTCCTTCAGGATATCCTCAGGAATCTTATGATCCCATGATATAACCTCCTTATCAGTTGCATCCACATGTTCTTCAGTATTTATCTACACCAAAAATATGACAGGTCAAAAATGAGTAAAACACTACTTTTTATTAAAGCACACGAAGTAACATTTCAGACAAAATCACAACACAATTGCTATTAAATAAATCTTTATTTGTATTTCAAAGCACTCACTGCAAAATGAAGAAAATACGTTCTAATAGAAATTCCAGTGATTATCTTGTCTTCAAACACTTTCAAATTTAATAGTGAAGTTTAGTTTTTTGATTAAATAAGACTGAGAATTCAAATATGGATAAACATAGGGAAAGAAACTAAGTATCAAACAGATAAACTACTTAAATCTTAATGATAGCATTTGAAAAATATAATAGCTTCAAAGTATGAAACTAAATAATCCTATAAAAAACTGAATACAAGAAATAATCAGAAGTTAAAAGCAAGAAAAATAATAATGTACTTTAAGAACCAATAACTTTAAACAGGGAATTATGAATGCTAAAAGATAACATGTCTAAACTGGGCATTGTGGCTCATTCCACAGCATTTGGGAGGCTGAGACAGGAGAATCGTTTGCAAGTTTGAGACTAGCCTGGGCTACAAAGTGAGCCCAAGACCAGCCTGAACTACATAACGAGACCTTGTCTCAAAAAGAAAAAAAAAAGAAGAAAGAAAGAAAAAAAGACATGTCTTAGAAAAGTGATTGTCTAAAATACACCTTAAAAGCCAACAAGGACAAAGAAACCTAGAAATTATGAAGCACATATTAGGAAACCTAAGTCATGCTTAAATAAATCATTAAAAAGGATATAAGAAATAATCAGTCTTCATTACCCACCAAAGTTGTGTCCTAGGGCAAGAATATAAAGTCAACTCTTCTATTTTTTTATTGGAGGACAAAATTAAAATTAACACAAATCAGATTTGTCACAGAGATAAGAGTGTGAGGTAAGAAGAGTACATACATCATATGGATGTACATGTACTTTACAGCTACTCAGATATAACTACGTATGTAGTACGACATACAATAACTAATGAGCAAGTGCTGCACAGCTCCCTTTAGACCAGCATTTGGAATTCTGGCACTCTGGATGTGGCAGGAATCACTCTTTGCTGTGGGACTGACCTGAGTTTTGCAGGATGCTCCACACCACCCCCGGCGAGATGCCGTTAAGCAGCCTACAATGCAGAATCCACTAGATAGACAGCAGCCCCACTGTCCCGCTGTTCTGACAACCAAAACTGTCTCAATACTGTCAAGTCTGTCCCAGCCCATTCTATGTAGATAATCCCTGCTTTAAACCATCAATTTATTAATGTATATTTAAAATATAGTCTCATTTGCAAATTAGTGATTTTTTTTATACAGCTTTTTAAACCATTAAGTTTACTGGTACACTTCAGATATACATAATGATCGTATTCATCATATGAAGCTTGTATCCATATGATACATTGATTCTTTTTTCCCCACTATCCCCCCCTTCCGTCTGCCCCTCTACTCTTCCTCATTTACAAAAGCTTTGTTCTATTTTATCTTTCTTTTGTCATTTCTTTTCCTTTCCTCTTTTCCCCCTCCTCTCCCAGAGCCTTCTTATTTGAACACTTTCTTCCTATTTTGCAATACTTATTACATAGTAATGTTTGGTCATTACACTTTCTTTCTCACACTGCAGAAACAATACAATATTTACATGTGTGCCCAATGTGTTTCACTTAAAAGTATGGTCTCGAAGTACACCCATTATCCTGCATGTTTTAAAACTGCACTGACCTGTGGAAATTAGGACACACTAACAAAGCAACTCTCATACAATAACTGACTACATTTTAAGAAATTTTTAAAAATGTCACCTGTAGACAAAAAACTGGCTCAATCAGATTTCCTCTTAGGGGCCAGGGTTTTAGCTCAGTGGCATAAGCTCTTGCCTGGCAAGCATGAGGTCATGAGTTTGATCCTCAGAACAAAAAAAAAAAAAAAAAAAAAAAAGACTTCCCTTTTTCAAATTGTATGTATATGCAAGAAAAATGCTCTTCAGCTAGAGACCACCACCCTAGGCAGCACAGCTTCCACAGGTCCTGTCTTCCTGATAAGGCTCCTCACCAGAGCAGACCATCAGGTTTACAGCATGTAAAACGCCTCGTCTGGACTCCATGGACAGTGCTGGAGTGATTACAACATTGGAGATACATGATTTAAAAGTCATCAGGATAAAAGCAGGATAAAAATACCAAATCTATCTACATGATACTTTTAAAGTTCCCAAATTGTTCCAGAAGTTAAAAGTACTACTATTTCAGAAACCTTAAACCACCTCAATTATAAAATGTTTCTTACTACAGATCACAGTAAACATCCAATTCATCCATTTACTTATGTATTTATTAATTCAGCAAATTTTTATTATATGCCACAGTTCCAAAACCTAAACTTAAATCAGTGATAAATATGAGATGAAAATCTCACCCCATGAAATTCAGATTCTAGTGATAATGAACAATAAATATATAAGCAAATGTGCAGTTTAATGTACAGTATGACATACATCAGGCTGCAGCAATGAGGAGAAAATGAAACAGCCACAGATAACGGAGAGTAGAGAAAGGGCTACTCTTTAAGACAAGGTAACTAGGTCTATTCAAAGCCAAAAGCGGGAAACTACCTAATACCCATCAAGTAAATGAATGAACTGGCTGTGCTACATTTACATAATGGAAAGTTGTCTAGAAATAAATAGGTTGAATAGGAAGTAAGTACTGATTCCTCCTGGAACACAGAGAAGGACCTTGGCTTTGTGAAAGAATAAAGACACAGGAGACCACGCACTGTATGAGTCCACTAGTGTAAAGTGTCCAGAATAAGCAAATCTTAACTGAGCCTCCTAACTGACTATGAGCTAACACATTATACAACTTTATTTGAATAGATCTTGGGACCCTTGGGACTGCCAACTCACTGGCTTCGGATTCGCCCCGTGAATTGTTAGTGCAGCTCTGGGTGTGTAGTGAGGTCACGGAGTGTAACCGTCTCTCTATCTGGCCCCTCCTCCTCTTTTCTCTAATATCGGTCCTCTGCCCCAACGAACTAAGCTGAGCAGTTCTACTCTGCCTCTGCATCATGATGCTCCTGATTTGGGCCCAGCCAACTATGGATTGGAGCCTCTGAACTGTAGAACCCAGTGAATACCTCTCCTCCTTTAAGTTCTAAATGCCAGGTATTGTGTCCCAGGGTCATAAAGTGACTAGCATGATTTCACTGAGAATCAAAACAGAGAGAAACAAACCAAGCCAAGAGAACAACAATTTAGCACAATTACCCAGTTCATTTTTGCATCATTCCTCTTTATAACCTGCTATTATCACTACATGCCCACCAACTTAAGTCCACTGTTACCACTGTAAACAGCCTTATAAAGAGTTGTTAAGTTTAAAACCTAGAGGTCTTCCTTAACCATTTTCCACATCTGATGAGTAACTAATGAAAATTCTACCTCCCGTTGTTAAGTATGTGGCACCATGTGTACCAACACTAGTTTAAGCCTCAAGGATTTCTTCCTCATTGAAATCCTATTACCATCCTTGATTGTTATTGCCTCCTATAATCACTCACTCATTCAACTACTTAATGACGACTACACTGTAAACTGGTGATGGTGAACCTTCCAGAACTTCCAATGTCACACACAGTCTGCTGCAGTGTAGGTGCCACAGGTTCGCCACCACTGCTCTAAACTGTTTCGGGCACAGGAACGCAGTAACAAAATAAACAGTCTCACTGCCTTGACACAACTTCCCTTTCAACCAAGCAAAAAGCCATCTTCCTAAATTAGACAGTCATTTTCAGTTAAATGAGCACAATGAAGATTAATAATTTTAGAAAAAAACTGTTTGATTATAGATTGATTTTCCACCTCTGAATCAATTATGTATGTGGCCAACTTAGACCAGTCACCTAACCACTTTGCTGCAGCTTGCTCACTTGTAGAAGGAGTCTTACAGGGTTAAGAAGAACCAATAAAACAGAAATGGTAAAAGCAAGTCAGTACAGTCCGAAAGCAGAACAAGCATGTAATGAGAACTGGCTGCCATTATGCTTGCTAAAGGACTGCTTCCAGTCTTCATTATCCTTGTTCTTCAGTCCTGACCCTTCTCCTTACAGTCTCTCCCTCAGTAGTAGTTAGCACCAATCAACCCTACAACACTGTAACTCAGATTCTTACTCCCAATTTGGTCTCTTCTCCTTGGAGTTTGAGCCTCATGTATTCAAATGCTTATCACTCTTTAGATACATCAAAGGCACCTGCAACAGTTTAAAATGGCACTAATAATCTATCCCTCTCACTCATCATTCTGACTCCCCTTTACCACCAACAAAACACCAGACATGACTTATAACACATCCTTACAAATTATTCGTTAACACATTTTAAAATTTCAAAAATTTTATTAGTACACTCATTGTAGGGAATTAGGATGTGTGTATTACAATCTTAATTCCTTTATCATCCCTTTTCTTTCTTCCCTCTCCTCCCTCCATCTTGTGGTCCCCTTCCCTTTTATAAAAGGTCTATCCCCCTACTTCCTACTGTTCATCTTTTATATACGAAACCTGAAGATAAACATCCGTAAAAATTCCTTCATGTTCTTCCGTAAGTATTTTCCCTACATCCACAACCCCAATTCAAAATATCATCTCTTACATGTAAATCTTCTAGCCAAAGGTCTGCTTTTAGTCATTCCATTCATCTGAAACTAGTTCAGATCAGACCTTTGCTACAAATGGTGGTGCACATGTACAATCTCAACTACTTTGGAGGCTAAGGCAAGGCCAGTCTGAGCCACTTCAGGAAATCATGTCCTAAAAGTAAGCCAGGCTGGGGTATAGCTCATCAGTAGAATGCTTGCCTATTACATGCAAGGCTGTGAATTCAATCTCTTAGTACTAGAGAGAAAAAAAAAAAATTGTTATACTCTTGCATGGACCTGAGATAATGCTCAGACCACGATGTGAACCTTGGTGAGCCTAAAATTATTTCCTAGCTGTGTCATCTTTGGCAAAAAATTTAGCCTGAGTTGCAATTTGTCTATCTGCAAAATGGTGGCCACATTACTTAACATATGCAGCTCTCTACATAAATTCACGATCTGCTACTTTTAAAGGATGAATAAATTTTAGCTACTAAAATGAGCCAATGAATAATTTCCCACTGCCTGTATATCTCTCATAAGGTCTAAAGAGTCTTCTCATTGTTCACATATTCCTCCAAATGCCAACAGCCCAAAGGAGGACATTCTGTAGGCCTTAATAAGAAGCATTCTTTTAGTATCCTAGTGCAAAGGTCAGAGCTACACTTATTTTTTTTTTTTTTTTTTTTTTTTTTTTTGGTACCAAGGATCAAGCTCATGGCCACACTGAGCTAAATCCCCAGCCCTAAGATCTACAATCTTTTGAGTATAGAATATGATACAGCCCTGAACTACATTTCTAATCTCTTCGACAATGATTCTCCAAATATATCACATTCAAATTCATCAGATTTCTTGAATGCACTAAGCTACCACCTCTCTTGGGTCTGCTCCTTTGAACTACTTCTACTTCTCTCTGCCTGCTGTGCTTTTGTCTGTACCAATTACAAGTGGTACCTCAGCTTATGAACTTAATTTGTTTTATACTTTTGGGGAAAATGGTTGTGGTTGCATCTGTCACCATGTGGAGCTTATGAACAAAAGCAAAATTTTGCTGAATGCCTTTTTTTCATTTGTGAACCAAGGTCGTACAGTACTAGTTGGTCTAATTTTAAGAAGAGGAAACTGTGGTTCAAAGAAGTTAAATGATTGGCCAAAGTCATCTAGGCTGGTGGCTCAGTAGACTGACAAAAGCAAAATGTTTTCTGTACTATCATAGTACCTCCCAGACTTTTCCAGTGAGAATTTCCATCGAGAGACCAGTGTCACAGTTCAAGAAAGGCAAATATTCAACCTGCTGCTACCAGCTTGCAGTACTACACTTTATCTTTAAACATGTCACAATGGAAATTTTATACAAGTCAAGTTGAGAAGAAGAAACCTCAAACAGATTTCCCTGTGTAATATATTAAATAAAAACTATAGTTCAGAGACTGTATCACAGGAATAGCTGTAGTTACTAGTTCTATCACTAATGAAATCAAGCACTGCCCAAGGATTTATAAAGAGGAATTTGGCTTCACTTAGCACTCTCCCAGTCTTCAGAGAAAAAGCTGAACACAAAAAGCAACCCAGCAATTTTATTCCAAGCATGAATGATTACGCTGGTGCAGCACAAACTTCTTTAGAGTAGTTTTCCAACCCAAGCACTGACAAACTGGGCCACATAATCCTTTCTAACGATGCAGTCATATACACTGTAAAATGTTTACTATCTAAACATCTGATGCCAGTACTCCATCCCTAGTTGTGAAAAAAACTTCTCTAGCTATTCACAAATGTCCCTTTCCGGGGTAAACTATCCCCAGTTGAGCACCTAGACTGAATTCAAGCTTACACAATAAAACCAAACAAACAAACAAAAAGTTTCTGTGGCTTCTCAATGATTATTTTCCATTGAGAAGTAAAGTGAAAGGGTTATAGGTTTCTCACCAAATATTTCTGGTGAGGCTTCAAAAACAAACATACATTTAAAACTACTTCTAGACACTTAGTGAAGTGAAAGGACAAGAAACTCTGTTTTGTACATGGCAGCACATCTGGCCTTTGGTCTCATAAAACAGGTATTCAAGGAACTGATTCTACAAAACACCATCCTTACTATGACACTGTATAAATGAACACCACCTCTTCTATTCCACCAATCAAGACCCAACCTGAAAACTAGATAGGGGGCAATCATTCAGCAGCAAAAAATAAGGTTAGTTTCTAATAAGACAAAGTCACATCTGCTAATCCACAAACTTAGTTTTTGTGTTTAATAAAATATCCCTCCCTACTCTTGGCAGCTAATTCCTTTATCATTTGCTAATAAGGTAAAATATAGCTATGTTTTCAATATTTAAGATAATTCTCATTTTACCTATTTAAAAATATTTCAACTCTCCTTTACTATTACTGCCTTTAAGTTCATTCAGTTGCATATTTTCCTCCCCAAAAGTCATATTGCTCATTTTAACAACCTTGTAAAAGTCTAGCTAAAATTAAGAGTTGAGATAGTTCGCCCAAGCTGTGAAGATTCATGAAACTCAGATTTCCATCTCTAAAGTGGCCATAAATTAAAATTTACTTCTTAAAGCTGCTGTGAAGATCAAACAAAGTCCTATATGGACAGTACCTGGGCACCCAGAAAACAGTTAGTAAGCAGTTATTATAAATATTGTTGTAATTATCACACATCAATTTCTCTGAAACTGGTTCTTCCATTAGTTCTGAGGAAAGTACATGCATTCTGAGAAAGACAGGTATACCATAAGCATATTTTACATCTAGGTGCAAACGAAGGCCTTATGTATAATGACAAAACAAAGTAGATAAAAAGTGAAAACATTCAGGATTTTCACCAGATGTTTACAAAAAATTTCTTCTAATGTCAACTACATCTAGTACCCAATGCTAGTTCATGAAATCCAGTGTTTCATGGAAAAAAAGTAAAGAACATGACATAAAGAAAAGAGGGAACAAAAGAAAAAGGGAAGAGAAGACAGAAGAAAGGGAAGGAATCGAGGAAAAGAAAAGGAAAAGGGGCCAAAAGGCTTGATGCAATGTAATTTTACAGTAACAATATGTGCCTAATTCTTCTAATATCAATAATAAAAGGTCAGAAATCTCAAGAAACCTGGGTAGTTAGCTGTCACTATTTTTCTAAGTAACAAATTTCCACTGGAAAAACTTTCTAGGTGCCAAAACCTATTGTTAGATGACAAAGATTAGTAAGAGGTTGCTCCAATATGATGGGCTCTCCCTTTGGAACTACAATAAATTCAAAGGAACTTTACAGTATATTCAAATTCAACACCATTGCCACTGAAAGGATGAATTCTGAAAGTATTAAAAACAAATCCAAAATGTCTGGATTTCCTTGAGAAAATATCAACTGCTCCAGAAATCTACCCCAAGAAAAGGTAAAGGTCACTCAGTTCCTATTGACTGGGGTAAATACAGACCTTCAACCAAGTGCCAAGTAGGATACACAACGAAAAGGAAGTCTCCAGCAAACATATTTTCCAAAGGCTTCCTTGAAGGGTCCCAAACTGCATCCTAGGTTAAGACAGTCTTAACCACCGCTGAAGACATTTATAAACACAGCCCCATTCCTCAATGCCCTTGCATATTAACAGCTCTGCCACAGACTCCTGCAGTCCTTGGCTTTTTAGGTGGTCTGGCAGAAAACGTGTATCCTACCATCACGACTCTTCCAGTAAGGAAAAACAAGAGCCCTGAGGGGTTCCGGCTCAATTTTTTTCATTTTTCCAGAGAAACAAAAAGCAGTCCTGTAATTCACTTTCCCAGTCTTTGTTACCAAAGCCCACCCAAAACTTAGGTCTGCTGACCATATAGCACAGTTCACAGGCTCAGAATCGGGGAAGGGGCTAGTAGGGAAGCGGGAGGCAGACCACTGGCACCCTCCTCCTGCCCTTCTCAAAGCTGTCTGTATGCCCTTGCGTACTCAGATTTCTCAATTTTACTATCCGAAGAACGGGGCAGAGGCTTCGCGGCCTGCAGTTGTAGGGCGCCCGCGCAGACCCGTTCCCGGGCCGGCCCGCCCGCCGCGGCACACACCTGGACGCTGGGGAAAGCCGTCTTGAGCAGGTAAAACATCTTCCGGTTGGACAGCACGTCGCCGCTGGTCATCTTGTCGTCCGCCCCCTCTCGAGTCTTCCCCTTGGACTTCTCGTGGAGCACGTTGCTCTCTCGGACGCGCCTCACCTCGTCGCCGCCGCGGACGGCCGCCAGCACTGACACGGCCAGCATCTCGCGCAGGTCCACGGTGCCCCCGTCGGCCGAAGCCGCGGGCCCCGCCTCGTCGCCGCCCAAGCCGAAGAGGCTGAAGCGGCCGGCTAGGAAGCCCGAGTAGAGGTGGTAGAGCACGCCGAGCCCCAGCAGGCAGAACACGGCCACCCCCAGCGGGGACAAGCGGATGCCCATTGGCGCCATGGCGCAAGGCCGGGCGCTGGCTGGGGGCGGCGGCCTCACAGGCCTCCGCGCACCCGCTGCCGCCGCGCTCCGGGCCGGGCGCTACACCGACCTTCGCCCGGCGCCCCCACGCCCCATCCCTTGCTCTCCCGCTCCCCGCAGAGGCCCCGCCGCGCGGCTAGCGACCCCGTCACCGTCCCGCCTCCTCCGCAGAACGGTCCGCGAGGCTCCAGTCCTCCACCAGCCGGCAACTCGGACTTCCACGTTAGCCGGGAGGCGTGAGGTGAAAGGGGAGCGTGGGTGCGTGTCCGGGTTACGCCAGGGCCGACGCGGCGCATGCTCCGCCCCCGGGCGGGGCCAGGCGCCTGTGGGCGGGGTCGTGACTATGGGCGGGGCCTGTGGGCGGGGCCGCTGCTTTGTGCTCAGGGTAGGCACCGCCTTGATCTGCCTTGTGTTGCACCGTCTGGGGGTTTTGGGGTTCCCCAAATCCTGCAGGCAGCGGCGAGCTGTTTTCCACTTAGGAAAGGGTACTGAGAACTGTGTGCATATTTAATGAAATCTCCCTTTTTGTCACCACTTGTCACAGTGGCAGTGTAGTCTTCCCCACTCTGAGATGATTACAGAAGAAAAGACAATAAACCATTTCAGAACAGCTGTAACTTCACCCTGTCAGTTATTTAGTCAGAACCTGTGGCTGTAAGTCGCCTCTCCGTGCTTTTCCAGGCAGGGTTGGGCAGACAGCAGAGGGGTTTCACTTGACTATTCTGCTGGCTTCTGAAGCTATCTAAATGTATGTATAGATTTTCTCTTTGTTCTTCCCCTATGTAAAACCTGTGAATCTGAAAAGCATACCTTGGTTCTAGGCTTTTATAATAAAGGAAAACACAACATTCTTCTCTCACAAGTATTATTAAGTCCTATCCTCCTCTCAGAAGTTGGAGAGTGGGTTGCTTGACAAAGCCTACTAGTTTTAAAGATTGTCCTGAGATGATTGGTAGGTCTGCAATACATAATATTTGAGTTAAAAAGCATCGCCCAAACGTACTATACAGACATGTTTAACAGAGGAATAAGTGTCTTTTCCATGTCACTGGCCTTAGCAATCAAATTTAATTGCGTTATAAATTTATTGTCACTAGTAAAGGTTCACATTAAGATGTACAGAATCATTTTTAAATTTTAGAATATTCGTATAAAAACACTTTAATGCAGCCCAGTTACTGCATTGTTAAAAGGTATTGATTTGAAGCGAGTTTTAAGATTACCCACCTAAAAATTGCAAGTATATAGAATATCTAAACAGCCACTGTAAGAAAAGTGTAAGCCTGACATGATTTCCTTAGAAGTCATAGCATCTCTAGAATTTGGCTGTGGTTATACAGATACAGTAGATGCTATCTATTGTTTAATTTTCCTTGCCACCTATCAGTAACCAGCTTAAAAATAAGCAGAGCACAAAATGAAGTAGAAATATAACCTGGAGTATTGACAGCAACAATTAAGTAACTGGCACTGATCCGCTGAGAACAATGTTACAATTAAGTAAAATTAGCTTTCAAAAGTAATCTCTGTGAAGCTCACAAAGTAATGATGATTACTTATCCCAGCAATAACAGAAAGATCGGGGAGTTAAGATGTAAAGACTTGAGCTTAACACAATCACTTCAAACTGCATTGTGAAATCAACAAAAAGCTTTGAGTTGGAGAGTAATCATAGAACTAGTAAAAGCATCATTGGGAAGTCCGACTAAGGTTTGTTGAAATAAATAGAAATATGTTTTTCACGGATAGTGGAAAAGAATATAGTGCCACGTTCATTGTGACATTATACGTAACATTGTGACACTATACGTAGCAGAGTGAGGTAAGCTTCAGAGAAAGAGCCTAATGCTTGAAGAAAATGCCAAGACATTAAAAAAAAAAAAAAAAAAGTGAGTTTAAAGACCCCAGGTGTGGCTGTGGTCCCAGCACTACGGGAGGCTGACTTAGTGATTTAAGGAAAAACTGTCCTAAAATAAAAAACAAGAAAGGTGTGGAGTGACAGCTCAGTGCCAAGACTCTTAACTTCAATCCCAAATTGTGCAAAAAGTCACACCTCCGAGAGGTGTTTTACACTCTCATGATAGTGACCATTGACATTAGGTAATAGATATTGATACCATGATGTTTAATTATTAATAGAAACTATGACAGAAAGAAGAAATTTAATTAATTACATATGGAATTTTAAAAAAACAAAAAACAAAAAAAACCAAAACCTTTTTGCAGTGCTGGATGCCAAAGCCAGGTCTTAATGCATGCTAGACAACCACTTCCCTACTGAGTTACATCGGAATCCCAGATGTGTATCAAAGCTTTCATAGGAATTTGATGGAACAAAATGTACTCTTCTGCTAACACATTGCCAGAAGTTTCAAAAACTGCACACATATTGATGAAAAGTACATGAAAGTAATTTAAAATGACAGCAAATTTGAGGCAAACTAGCCTTTCAGCAATAAGCTTTCTCTAAGTATTTAGGAAAGTGAATATCAACTGGTATCTCTTTGTAATAAATATCGATAGCAACAAGAATTAATATTCAGGACAACATTTCCCAGCTGTATTAGTCACTCTCTTGTCACTGAGACAAAATGTTCAACACTGACCAGGTCGCACATCTATTGCAGAAACGTTGGGTGACGTTTTAGATCTATACTCTGAGCAGCTCCCACATGCCTGGCTTGTTAGATCTTTTTCCCTCCCCATAGATTTACAAGGTCCACTCAATGACCCGGAGTGTTTCTGGGTCCACTTCTAGTACAGTACAGTTCTTGGGGCACCTCGACTACTTAAACTTTATCGCCTCTTCATAGTCAGTTTTGTTTATTTCTAACCTTTTTTTTTTTTGCCATTGTGATTATGACTATAAGTATATGTTAAATAAAATTTATGTGAAATAGTAAAATACGATTACAGACATGAATCAGAAACTTCGGATGATTCAATAAGCTGTTGTAGTAAGCTTGTAGCTGGGTGATTGATAGAAATTAAAGAATTCATAAATATTTGAACAGATGCTGAAATTGGTCTGTTTTATGAGACTATTCAAACTTTAAGGGAACTAGAACTGCTTATTTTAGAGTTTCATCATACATCTGGTCCATGTCAGCATGATAATTTGAAGTTGTCACTAGTGGGTGCACTGGAAAAGATCTTGCCTTGCGTGGACAAATGAATATATTTTTATATTCTTTAAATTCACATGTTCAAAATGTCTTTTTTTCCATTGTTTTCTATTTTGAGAGTTCTAAGCTGACCTATGCTAGTACATCAGGATCTCTCCTGACTGAATATTGCTACTGTTCCTACAGTACCACCTTTCCTGTGGCTCTCAACTATGTGTGAAATAATACCAATTTATAAACAATATTAGCGTCTTACAGGATGAGCACATTTCAGTTTGTCTGAATGGAACAGCTGTATTTTTAATTAATCTTTCAGTTAATTTTCTTGTTTTTTTCTTTTTCCTTTAATCAGTGCATTGCAGAAACGGCAATATAATTAAGAAAAGGGCTAACTGAACACCTGTAAAAGTGATTCTATTATCTGTCTGAAAAAAACAAATTTATGGCATTTTTGATATTTAAAATATAAAATTTCCAAGAATGGTATTATTTGTATATTCTTCTTTTAAGTAATTTTATCCTATAGAAACAACTACATCTCAGTAATCTCTGTCATTATTAGGTGATACAACTCTAGAACTGAAGTTTTTTATATTAAGATTGTAGAAAATCTGCATCTAAAATATGATCTATACCTATCATTGATGTTGTTTGCTCCCAATATTTATAAATAAACAACTTCTCTATTTATGTAAAATAATTATGCTAGCCTTATAACATTCAACATTGGCCTTGATTTAGCAGAAGTATTAACAAATTCTTATTAAATAGAGGCAGCTTTGTAGGCATATACAATAAAAAACTGGGTGTAATGTTAACTCTTTGAAATTGTGTTCTAGGGGGCCAGGGGTTTAGCTCAACGGCATAAGCGCCTGCCTTGAAAGCAGGTAGTTGTGAGTTCGATCCCTGGTACCGATAAAAAGGAAAAAGACAAAAAAAAAAGAAAAAAGAAATTGTGTTCTAATCCATGTTTGTGACATACCTTCACATGCTCTGACCTAACTCAGATCCTTTGCCTGGTTTAAAAGCTTAGTAAATATTTCTAAGAATCTGGACCATAAAACTACTTTTAAATGACATTTTGTCCAGTATGTAAAGTCTGCATATATTTACTTTCGAGCTATTAATATGTCGAATATGTTCGGATGTGGTGGCTCCTGCTTGTAATCCCAACACTTAAGTGGTAGGGAGATCACAAATTTAAGGCTAGTGTAGCTATCTAGTGAGACATTATCTCAAAAACAATGAGAGGGTGTCAACTATGTATTTTTAATTAACTCAATGGTTCACAATGCAGCAATTCTGTCAGCAATGTTGAGTTTTCCACATTTCTCCATTTTCTAGGTCATATGAGTTTGTGTTACACTTTTTGGCTACCTGAAAGTTCAAGTAAAATTATTATTATTTTAAAACTCTACTTAAGCTAAGAAAGTATGATATAGTTTCTAAAATTTTCTTGTTCTCAAAAATAATATTGGAATGTGTTCATTAGTCATGATTAAAATATATCTTGATTAAAATATAGCCATGATTAAAATGTAATAGCTGTATTATAAAAGACCCAGCAGCATAATTTATACTGCTATTTAGATAGATTACAAGTCTTGTTACACAAAATGTAAGGATGCAATTTGGTCATCAAACCATAGCCATATGCCCTAAACTTGTTGGCAATGAAAAAAGATTTTAAAAACTCTATGACTTGTAGAAATAAAATGAAGCTTCGCTAGACACTGCTTATCTTTACTACAAGAAATATTCTTAGTGTTTGTAAGCCATCTAACTGGTCTCATTATTGGGTCATTGTGAGCAGACAGTTTTATGTGAGTTTCTCTTTACTGTAGGTTAGAATAG